AGGTAATAGTAGGCCACAAGTAACGGGCTTTAATCGTTGCTTGGGCTGGTACAGAATTAATCACTAGCTGAAATATAAGGGGGAAATAAATTTAGGAATTAACAACCAGTAATACGGCAGGTTAACATTGACACATATATTGTGGTTAACTATTTACAATAAAAAAATAAATTAAATATTTCAACGCCCACCCTCACGGTAATATGTACAAACCCTGAACAAAAATAAACAAACAAAACGGACGGAAATGACTTTCGAGTGACTAATCAGACGTAAAGAAAACAAAATAAAATCAATACTTATAATTATCACGGTCGCAGTAAAAGTTTATTATTGAATTGTTTATTCTGTTGTTGAGTTATAAATGCAATTTGCCATTTCATTCGGCAGTATTATTTCGGTCGTAGCAAAAATTAACTGTTAAATTTTCTAATTGGTATTTACAATCAAATGTAATTGAATGCTTCAGTAAAACAAAATATAATATTGGTTGCAGAGAATGCGAGGAGACAGGTTCGGGATAATACTAATTCCAGAGCTGAAACCGGGACCCTATAAGAGGTTTACTCACTAGTGGTTGGAAAGTAAAACCAACTAACAACCGGGATAGTACATTATCCCTGAGTGAACCGATCCGCTTCAAACTGGGGAATGATACTATTTAATGTCAATTGAATAACGGAGTTTTACATAAAACAAATTTAATAACCGGGATAGCACACTATCTCTGAATGAGGCGATCGTAATCACGAGCCGCTTCAGACAGGGGAATGATACTATTTGAGTTCACTTACAATAACGGAGACTAACGCAAATGAGGGTTTCGGACGGAAAATAAACTAATAACCGGGATAGCACATTATCTCTGAATGAGACGATCGTAATCACGAGCCGCTTCAGACAGGGGAATGATACTATTTTAGTTCTGTTGAAATAACGGAGACCTAACGCAAATTAATTTTTAGATATAGAATGAACTAATAGCCGGGATAACACCTTATCTCTGGATGAAGCGATCGTAATCACGAGCCGCTTCAAACTGGGAATGATGCTATTTAAATTTTCTTAAAATTTGCAGTTCGGAGAATAAAACAAAAGAAAATGCCTCGTCGCAATTCTACAAATATAACCAATCAAAACATTAGGCAATTCCCAAACAGTTCCAATTAATTATTTATTGGATAATGTTTTTAATTAACTGTATTATTTGTTCACGAAAATTTCTTGCAGTAGGAAAAATTGACTATAAGACTATATTTACGATTAAATGAAAAATAAACTTATTAACGGTTAAGCCTTCAAATAAACTAAAATGAAATGTATAATTTATTCACAGAAATTTCCAGTAGTAGGAAAAATTAACTATACGACTATGTTTACAATCGAATGTAAAATAAATTGTTTAACGGTCAAAACTTTAAATAAACTAAAATGAAATGTATTATTTATTAACGGAAATTTCCAGTAGTAGGAAAAATTAACTATACGACTATATCTACGATTGAATAAAAAATAAATTGTTTAACACTCAAAACTTTAAATAAACTAAAATTAAATTTATTATTTACGGAAATTTCCAGTAGTAGGAAAAATTAACTATACGACTATATTTACAATCGAATGTAAAATAAATTGTTTAACGGTCATAACTTTAAATAAACTAAAATGAAATGTATTATTTATTAACGGAAATTTCCAGTAGTAGGAAAAATTAACTATACGACTATATCTACGATTGAAATAAAAAAAAATAAATTGTTTAACGCTCAAAACTTTAAATAAACTAAAATGAAATTTATTAAGAACGGTGTATTCTAACAAGAATAAATTAAAGTATTTTTAAATCAAAACAAATGAAATCCTAACTCAACACGGAATAAATAAAATTAAATCGGTTTCAAATAGCACGGCTTAAAGTCTCGGGCACGAAAGAAATTATCAAAAAAAAAAAAACTATCAACAAACTTTACCTCGCGGCGTGAAATAAATTTTCGGTATCGTAGGTATTTAGCGTTTAATCGACTATTAGATTTAACGGTGTCAAATCAAGTCTGTTCGATAAATCGGTATATTAGGAACTAAAAATTTCAATTCAATCTCGGACCACGTTTAGTCGTCGCATGCCCTACTACATCAGAAAATCCCACCATTAAAACGCGCGCAGGCACAGTACCTCAACGATGGTTTGAACAGCGATAAAACTGATGATATACAGGGCATATCCACGAAGTTGAAATTAATTGAAAATCGAAATTAATACCCGGAATTAATTAATAATAATAATAATGAAAATTGACTTCATTACAGTTTGTTCAACAATGGTGGATATGATAGCCATATCACACAAAGACGAAGTTTGAGCACGACGTCGTAGGCGGAGTACTCAATCGTCTGATTGTGATATGAACAATCCACTCGATATGGTCAGTATATTTTTTCTACGACCCACTAACGAAAATCTACAAATTTAAAAAATTATTTTAGGTTATTTAGACAAAATAACTAATTTTAAAATAATTTACGAAGTTGACTAATTTATAAAATAAAATAAACATGAAACATTAATTAGTCCTCGGCCTAGATTCGATCCCGGGCTTTTCGCATGGAAGGCAGATGTTCTGTCCTCATCTTCACCGAAACTTTCAGGACTTTAGTTTTAATACTCGTAATTAAATTAGTATCATGTAGTTTGATTAAAATTTATTTTTTTTTTAAATGTGGACATAATAAAAACAAAAATGCTATTATTTATTGAGTCTACACAAAAATTTTAATGTATATTTAATATCAATAACTAAAATATATATTGACAATTAGTTTAACAGAATTATCACTTATTTAAAAATTTTTAAATAATAGGAGTTGGGTGACCAAAATATGAACTGTGATTTGTAGATTTAATTTTGTTAAAGTGTTCTCACTACCTAAAATGGATATGAAATATATTCGCAGTTGAACGCAATAACATAATTTTTCGTTTTGTAGTGTGCGTAGATTGGCTAATATCCATGCACAGATTACAAAACGAAAAAGTATGCTATTGCCTTCAATTGAACGAATATATTTCATATCCATTCTAGGTAGTGAGAACACTGCAAAAAAAATAAATTCGCCAATCACCGTTCATATTTTGATCAACCGACTGCTATTATTTTTAAAATTTTAAATAAATGACAATTCTGTCAAACTAATTGTCAGTATATTTTTTAGTTATTGAGATTAAACATACAATAAAATAAGTTATTCTTTTGGAAAACGTTAGCATGGATGACTAAAGGGTATTGGGTTAATTAATTCTAAAAGTGTGGTACAAATGTTATTTTTTGTAGCCAATTCTTCAAAATTATTTTAAAATATCTTTTCAATATTGAATATTAGTTCTACAAATTCATCATTTGACAGTTGCAGATTTCCAAATGTATCTGAATTGGCGTTATCATATGCCTTTTAAAAGCAATAAAAAGAAAAATCGTCTAATTCAACGTGATCTTTGTTATATTTAAGACAGGTATCGCAGGAGTGGATCCGCAAGGCTTTTATTAAAAGGTAACCACACACATACCTGATAAAATTTTTCTGTAGCAATTCGTCTTTACAATAATTTAGGGTGTTAATAATTTCATCATAAAATAAAATACAAGGTGTTCCATTTAAAAAACATACATTTTAATTTTCCAGGCAAAAACGTGACACCCTGTATATCCAAAGATATTTTTAAAATATGTAGGTATTTTTCAAATCCATATAACTTTTATTTAAAACTTTCTTGCGTGTCTACAACAAAATAATGAACAATAACGCACTAATGAGATACCCTGTATAAATTATATTTTTAACAATGAAAATTTCTTATAATGTAGTACTTATCGGTTTGGGTCCTTGGGAAAACTAAAGAATGTTTTCTTGCAGGTATAACCCTTATTAAAACAGCTTTTGACTGCACAAACTCATTCTACTCACAGCTAAAGAGTCACCAAAATAATAACAGTACCTTTAACTCAAACAAAATCAACGAAATTATAGGCTCCACGAAATTATACAATCAACGAAATTATACGCACGACCCAACACCTTGCCTAAGTACGCTTCTGAACGCCAAAACCGTCTTTTCCCTTCGAAGGCGGAGCTTAAGCGATGCGCGACGAAATCGACGCAAACCGTTGCCGCCAAGAGAGTGTTTTAGCTGTATTGTATAAGCTGTGTTATAAGCGCACATCGCTTACATATTTATTCATTGATAAAATAAACTTGTATCTGCGTAAAATCATTCTCTTTCCCCTCTCTTACTTCTCACCTTTGGTCTCTTCACCGCGGACCTACAAATAGAGCGTATTGATTGTCGAATTAATCTTGGCATCGTGAATATTATATTTTATCAATGAATGGTTATATCTCTGGTTTTAAGCCAGTCTCAGTTTGGACTGAAAATCGGCAAACAATATGCCATCTACCAATAAAAAACAGATCCGTTTCTAAAACATTGTCTCTCGACAACTAGTAAATATAAAAAGCTGCAATTAAGTTTCTAAAAACGCACGTGTCTTCCAATATCTATATACAACGTTTCATCCAAATCAGAGCCACTTTTTACAACTTTTTAACAAAGAAATATTGATTTTTTCGTGAAAAATTATTTGCATTCGATTGAGCTGATAATAGGCACCTTAAACATTAAGCAAGCAATTGCGTTCCGTTCTAGCCTGAATAAAAGAAAAATTTAAAAAAAGAATTTGAAAAAAAAAATTGAAAAAATAATTAGTTTTTGATCTATGAAAACTTTTGAAGTTTGATTCATTAACGTGTTGTATCTCGGAAACTAATAGTTTCTATATCAAAATTCATCAATTAACGAGAGCTCTGGGGTAGAGCTTTGTCGGTTTATGTAAATAAAACTTTTTAATTATTTTTTTTTATTAAAATAAAATTGTATACAAAAATAAAACAATCTATAGAAAAATTTAAACATCATATAAAACAGACTCAAGTTACTCAAGTAAAATGTACTGATATGGAATTAACAATTTAATCATTCCCTAAAATTATAGAAAAGAAGAAATAAACGCCCAATTTAAAAAATAAATAAATTTTCAATTTCTCTTTATCTTTTTATGTGTTTTTTGTTCCTTACCTCTTCGGCTAACTTTTCAAAAATAAAATTCCAAACTCTACTGACATTTTTAAATTCCCATCTGACAGTTTACCGAAATCAACAACCCGATTATCTACTTAATTTTGATTTTTAAAAAGTTCACCACCCCACCATCGGTCAATTTTGACATTTTTTTACTTTTTTTTAAACTTTCCATATCAATACATTTAAATAACCATATATTCTCTTTTTAACAAATTTTTATTATATTATTATTTAGGAGCTACCTATAAATATACTAATAATTACACAATTTTTCAGTTCACAGCTACTCGAAATTTTACAAAATTTCATTCAAATTTGACTTTACTGGTGAAAATTGTACTAGTACCTGTCAGAAAAGTCCTATCGATTTTTTTTGTAAATTAATGAGTTTTCCAAAGAGAATATTTTAGAGTTTACAACATATTTTTATCAAGCTAAATAAAGTTCTGGAAGAATTTCGCTGACTAGCAAGAATAACGACGCAATTAAAAATAGTAGATTTTACAGTATGGACTTTTTATTTTATGTATAAATGTTTCACTACATATTTCAAATGGTAGTTAATTTAATTTTACACGCAGGAATAGTGACACAACTCAAAAACAGATTTTGCATTTTAAAAATGCTTAAATATTTTTGTATTCAAAAAATTACAAGTTTGCTTTGATAAAATTAATCAAAAACCCAAAAAAAAATTTAATCCCTCTTTTGAGTTACGACGATCTTCCAGAGAAGTATTTTTCAAACCAATTAATAATAACCTTTCCAACAATAATGTCCTATTTTTCACCTTTGAAAAAGTTCCTTATTTATTTTGTTATAAAACTGGCATATTGTATCAGAGCACAACTAGATTTGTGTTATTCTTCATCATAAACTCACGACTTACGACTTTATGCACCTAATACAGGAAGAACGACACAACGTCATTTTTGAAAGTTTATTTTTTATAAAACTGGCGAATTTTGTCAGAACAAAACTAGATTTCTGTTACTCTTCATTGTCATAAACTCGCGACCCGTAATACGGAAAGAATGGCATGACGTTATTTTTGAAAGTAGCAATATGTCGTTCTTTCATATAAAATATGCAGTTTTTGCTACACATTTCTACTATAAGCTCGAAAATTGAGATTTTTGAGTTGCGTCACTATTCTTATGCACCAACGATATATAAATATTATATAAAAAAATACAAATAGGCTCTTCAGATATCAAGTCATTATTAATGAAATTATAAATTATCAAAAATCAACTGGTCACTGTCGTATAAATTTAAAATAATTTCATACTTCTTTTGAGTCATGACGATTTTCCAGAAAAGTATATTTCACACCAATTGATAATGACCTTTTCAACAATAATGTCCTAATTTGACTTGTGTCACTGTTGAAAATAACGTTATTTTATTTTTTATAAAATTGGCGAATTTGATCGGAACAAAACTAGATTTGTGTTACTCTTCATTGTCATAAACTCGCGACCCGTAATACGGAAAGAATGACACAACGTTATTTTTAAAAGTAGCAATATGTCGTCCTTCCACATAAAATATTAAGAATTTGCTACACATTTCTACTATAAGTTGGAAAATAGAGATTTTTGAGTTACGTTACTATTCTTATGCACCAACGATATATAAGTAATCTATGAAAAAATACAAATAATCATCACAAACATGCCCTTCAGGCATCGGTCATTATTCTTCATAATATGAATTATCAAAAATTAACTTAGTATTGTTGCCTACATTTAAAATAACCCAAAATATTATATTTTCATCTCCCTTTTGAATTATGACGATTTTCCAGAAAAGTATATTTCGCACCAATTGATAATGATTTTTCAACTATAACGTCCTAATTTAACTTGTGTCATTGTTGAAAATAACGTTCTTAGTTTATTTTCTATTAAACCGGCGTATTTTGTCAAAGTACAACTAGAATTGTGTTACTTTTGATCATCATAAACACAGGACTTGTAATACGGAAAGAACAAGTCATTTTTGAAAGTAGCAATATGTCGTTCTTCCACATAAAATATGCGGATTTTGTCACCCATTTTTACATTAAGCTCGAAAATGGAAATTTTTGAGTTGTATCTTATGCACCAACGATATGTAAATATTCTATAAAAAATTCAAATTATCATCACAAACAGACTCTTCAGATATCGGTAATTATTCTTGAGATTATAAATTATCAAAAATCAACTGGTCATTTATTAAATGTTAAAATAATATTTTCATCCCTCTTTTGAGTTATGACGATTTTCCAGAAAAGAATACTTCACGCAAATTGATAACGACCTTTTCAACAATAATGTCTTAATTTGACTTATGTCACTGTTGAAAAAAACGTTCTTATTTTATTTTTTATAAAACTGTCGAATTTTGTCGGAGCAAAACTAGATTTGTGTTGCTCTTCATTGTCATAAATTCGCGACCTGTAATACGGAAAGAAGGACACAACGATATTTTTTAAAGTAGCAATATGTCGTTTTTGTACATATAAAATATGCAGTTTTTGATACACATTTCTACTATAAGCTCGAAAATTGAGATTTTTGAGTTGCGTCACTATTCTTATGTACCAACGATACATAATATTCTATGAAAAAATACAAATAATCATCACAAACGGGCCCTTCAGACATCGGTCATTATTCTTCATATTATGAATTATCAAAAATTAACTTATTATTGTTGTCTAAATTTAAAATATTAATAATGTCCTAATTTGACTTGTCTCATTGTTGAAAACAACGTTCTTAGTTTATTTTTCATAAAACTGGCGTATTTTGTCGGAGCAAAACTAGATTTGTGTTACTCTTCATTATAATAAGCTTGCAGTACGGGAAGAACGACACAACGCCATTATTGAAATTAGCATTATGTCGTTCTTTCACATAAAAATATGCGGAATTTGCTATACATTTTTAATATAAGCTTGAAAAGGTACATTTTTGAAATGTGTCACTATTCTTTTTCACTGAAAAAATACAAATAATCACAAAAATATTGAGTGATATCTGAGGGTCAATATTCTTGAGATTATGAATTATAAAAAAGTAACTTATGTCATTGTTGTCTAAATTTAAAATAATTAGGACGCAAAAAAACAAATAAATTACATATTTTGAAATTGGGGATTTCAATTAATTTAAGGTAATGGAAAATTTGTAAGCAAATAAAAAATATCATTCTGGTTGAATATGAATTTTATTTGATAAAACAACAACTGAATTATACTTTTTTGAAATATGTCAATATTCTTGAAAAAATTGTAGTATAACTCTAAAAGCGTCTTTTTTTTGAAAATCGAATTGTGACAACAACTATGAAACTGAAATGAGCTCATGTTCGTGATACACGTTAGACTTAATTGTCTTAAATAAATACTGACGCTATCTGTTTAGCGAATGTATGACAGAATTCAGCATTCCGTTATTTTTCATGATAAAAAACTTTTTTGTTCTGCATACTTAGTATAATTTTAAAAAAATTTGAATTGCGTCGTTATTCTTGCAAATCAGCTATTTATAATACTAGATTATATTCTGAAATAATTATTCCACTTTTAAATTCTAAAATTCCCAACTCTCGATCCACCTCAAACCGCGCATTGTAGAGTTGGGTTCATTGGCGGAGGGGCCGGACATTCCGTACGCCAATGGGGCAAATAAATAAAAGCTATAAACGATCGTCGACAGAATTAACCCCAATAAAATTTGATAAACCATGTTTGCGTTCGATCTCGAAAAATAACCGGGAATCTCCTCCAAGAGGTAATCGATCAATATACCTAAAAGAAAAAATACAATTTTTTATAATTACAAATCGCTTCGTTGGTATAAAAATGACAACTCAAAATTCGACACAAAATTTTGAATTTAAGCCATTAAACGACATTCTAAACCAAATATAGCACCTTTGTTTCAAAAGTGACACAACTCAAAATTCACATCTTTTGAGTTGACACCATGAATGGGATTATTAAAAACAACCCTGTATCGAAATCTTAAAAAATCAGAGACGCCATCTAGAAAACTTTTGTAAGTCAAGAGAAAAACAATTGTTGATTGTAGGGTTGTTTACTAAATTTTGAGTTGTGTCACTTTTGAAGCAAGGATGCGATATATCGGATAGAATTGATACGTATCTATTCTACCCGATATCTTTGGTTTAAAATACTGTTTAAGATGTTAATTCAATTTTTTTTTTAATTTTGAGTTGTGTCACTTTTCTATAAACAGAGCGAAAATATCACAGGAATTTGTTTAAATAGAAATTGTGATGATAGAAGGTATAAATGATTTATTTATAGTGTGGTTTCGATTTTGGTTTGTATTTTTTTACCTGTTATCATGGAACTGAATAGGAGAGCTGGAAAGTAATGATGGAAGTACAGTACTCGACCCATTGCCCAAAAAGGTACGTAATGTAAGGTCCATCCTATGAAGAGCCAAGCGCAAGCAACCAACTTTTTCTTGTGAAAATCTATATAATAAGAAAATATGACGATTATTTAGAATTTATTCCTGGCAAACCATGTTTAAAATACAACATAACAAAATATGATTTTAAATTTTAATTTATAACTAAATTTTATTGAATAAATTTTCCTTCATTTCTTACCATCAAAAGATTCGATATATCCTCTCTGCAACTTTACTGCATTTATTCCAAAAACAATCAAAAATATAACGATAAAAACCAAATTCCCCCACCAAATCACAGGATTGCCCAGCAGATATATTCTGTATTGAGTCCCGGAAAAAAATTGACCCTAAAACAAAAAAAATTCAAAATATTTCGTCGCCAATCTTAAGACAGGTAAAGTTGACGCACCCTGTAGTTTATCGGCCATTGCCAAGGCCTTGACGTGATTTCACCCTCCTTGGGTTTTAATCCTGCATTTCCTTGCAACATAACGGCGTGCGACTCCAGAAATCTTTCCAAAAAACTCGGAGCGTACACCTCAAAACTTACATTAGGCACTAGAAATAAAATATATAACTACAATCCATATGGATATAATTAACTAGTGAAGAGTCTCTTAGAAAAGTTCACGGACAAGTCTGAAAAGTTAACTAGTCCAAACATCCTTTTCAAAAGTAGAAAAGTGTATTGCGCATGCGTGAAATTAAGGCAAAATATAGTTTAAAAAGAAGAAACGACAAATGATTACTGACTTTTATATGTTTTAACGATGTTTTCAAATTAAAATTAAAATAAATTCGAAAAGAATCATCACAATAATAATTGAATTCTACAAATAAGCAAAATTTTGAAATATTTTATAATGTGTATCAAATTTATTCACGTTTATGTCAAAAGTCATCACTTTGACGTGTACCACATCCTATATCAAAAATGTTGACGTTTATCAAGTCATATGTCAAAAATTTTGACGTTTATCACGTCATAAGTCCAACATTTTGACGTTTATCACGTCATATATCAAAACTGTTGACATTTATCGCGTTTTATGCCAATTTTTCGATGAATATTACACTTCTGTCAAACTTTTGACGTTTATAAAGTTGTTTAATAAGAAATCTGACAATATAAAACTCATATTGCACCAAACAAAATACAAATTCATGAAAAGTTTGTAAATTAAATAATGGAATAAGCACATATTGTTATTTTATTTAAATTTATTGTTTTATTACTTTAAAATTCATCATTTTGATGTTTATCATGTCATATTTCCAACATTTTGACGTTTATGACGTCATGTCAAAATTGTTGACATTTATCACATTGTATGTTAATCTTTCGATAATTATTACACTTCTGTCAAACTTTTGACGTTTATAAAGTTGTTTCATAAGAAATCTGGCAATATAAAACTCATTAATTACCAGCCTTACAATATAAAACTCATAATTAATCCATATATGTAAAAAAATGTTGACATTTATCACTTTTTATGCCAAACTGTCGATGATTTTGACGTTTACTACGCCATAAGTTAAAAATGTTGGCATTTATCAAGTCAAATGACAAAAATGTTGACGTTTATCACGTCATATATCTAACATTTTGACATTTATCACGTCATATGTCAAAACTGTTGATATTTATCGCGTGTTATGCCAATGTTTCGATGATTATTAGTCTTCTGTCAAATTTTTGACGTTTATAAAGTTGTTTACTAAGAAATCTGGCAATATGAAACTCATATTGCACCAAAGAAAATACAAATGTATGAAACCATTGTATATTGAACAATGGAAGAAGCACCCACACTATTTATTAATTTATATTAAATATTGATCTATTACATCAAAAGTCATAATTTTGCCATTTATTTCGTCATATATCCAAAATTTTGACTTTTAATCACGTTACATGTCAAAATTGTTGACATTTATCACTTTTTATACCAAACTCTCGATGATTTTGTCGATGTCAAAAATGTAGACATTTATCAAGTCAAATGTCAAAAATGTTGACGTTTATCGCGTCATGTCAAAAAATTTGACGTTTATCACGTCATATATCAAAAATGTAATTTATCACGTTTTATGCCAGACTTTCGATGAAGAAAGAAGCACACACACTAACGGGGAAAATCATGTATGGTTGTAAATTGTATCGTGTCATCTGCCAAACTATTGACTTACGTTTTTCAAAAATATTTTCTTCCACGTTCCACAGGGCGTTCTGATCTCTTAAATTAGGATTACACGTGACCTCTTGTTGTTCGTAGCCCCATTTGGGCAGCTGCTTTCCGCTAGTCGTCAAAATGCAAGATTGCAAGTAATGAACGAATTTGAGTTTGCTCGTGACGGCGGTTACGTCAGATCCGAGTTTCGCTCCCGCGACTGTCACTCTCCAGACATCGTTGGCATCGCCTGTGCCGTTCTCGCCGTAACCCGTCACCTAAACGTCAAAATATCAATGATTATATTCGCGGGTTTAAATCAGATGTATACATAATGTTATTCAATTTTTTAACATGAAGTTTGCCCATAGGAACACAAACTTTTATTTAAAAATTTTGTCACCTAAACTTCAAAATGTCAATGTTTATATTCGCGTATTATAAATGCATCAGTTTTGTAGTTTATTTTAATTGGCGCCCAACGTGGGGCAAGAATTATATTTTTGGAATTTTAGAATTTGGAAGGAAAATTGGACAAGACTTTTTAGGTAAGGTGATTTGTAGGGATATTGTATATGTACTGAATGTTTGGATGTCTGATGCAATTTGGAGGCTACAAGATATTTTGAGTAAATGAGAAAATATGTTTGAATAGTCACCAAATTAAGTTGTATTTCACGAAAACAAAATCAAACACCTATTAACTCAATGTTAATTTGTTGTTTGTGTACTTACCAATCATTTTAACTGTCAAAAGATCACGTGTTTAATATTTATAGGTTATATGCATCATTCTTTATAAAAAGATGTGGTAACTAAATACCTATTTCATAAAATGCATTAGAGACTGATAACACAAAAAAAATGGGAAAGTATAGTTTTGGAACAGCAGTTACTCACTTGGAAATGTTTTTTAGTCACAGGAGCCTGTTCTTTATGGGAATGAAGGTTTCTTCGAGTCGGCACGTGTTCCAGACGCACCAAGTCGCCATTTTGGACAATTTGAACATCGTCATCAGGTTCGGCGTTGTATTTTTTAATCAACCATTTATTATTGTCGTCTTTGTGAGTGTATGTGGTAATCTAGATCGAAAATATAACAATTAGTTTCCAATTTGGAAAAATAAATTATCATTAAGATTCAATGATAGTATTTGAAAAAATCTAAGCAGCAGATCAGAAGCATAATATAACCGACACCTACAAAATGATTTACCTGTTGCTGTCTAGCACCAACAGTTTCTGGATAGAGATGAAAGTGTGAATGCAAGTAACCACCTCCAGTACGATGATTCTTCAAAGTAATGATCGCCCCATAGGCTACTTCTCGCGGCATACTAGCATTATGTAAACTGTTGCCTAAAAAAGAAGTAAGATATGTCAATCATCTCAACATTTTGACGTTTTTTACGTCATATGTCAAAATTGTTGACGTTTATGACGTTTTATACCAAAGTTTTAATGAATATAGGACCTTTGGCGTTTACTTAGAAATCTGGCAATGTAAAAACTCATAAGGCACCAAATAAAATACAAATGTATGAAGTCTATAAATTAAACAATAGAAGAAGCACATATCGTCTTATTTCATAATTTATATCAAATTTATTGGTTTATTACGTCAAAAGTCATTATTTTGACGTTTATCATGTTATATGTCCAACATTTTGACATTTTTTTACGTCATATGTAAAAATTATTGACAAATCTCGTTTTATACAAATGTTTAAATGAATATGAGACTTCTGCCAAAATGTTTGGTGTTTATACTAAGAAATTTAGTAAAGCAAAATTCATAATGCACCAAATAAAATACAAATGCATGAAAAGTCTTTAAATTTAACAATGGAAGAAGCACATGCCTTATTATTTTATAATTTATATCAAATTTATTGGTTTATTACGTCAAAAGTCATCATTTTGACGTTTATCACGTTATATGTCCAATATTTTGACGTTTTTTACGACATATGTCAAAATTGTTGACGTTTATCACGTTTTATATAAAAGTTTCAATGAATATGAGTCTTCTGTCAAACTGTTGGCGTTTATACAAAGAAATCTAGCAATGTCAAACTCATAATGCACCAAAGAATATACAAAATCTGTAAAATAAACAATGGAAGAAGCACATACCTTATTATTTTATAATTTATATCAAATTTATTGGTTTATTACGTCAAAAGTAATCATTTTGACGTTTATCACGTTATATGTCCAATCTTTTGACGTTTTTTACGTCATATTTCAAAATTGTTGACGTTTATAAAGTTTTTATACACAAGTTTCAATGAATATGAGACTTCTGGCAAAACGTTTGGCGTTTATACTAAGAAATCTAGCAATGTAAAACTCATAATACACCAAAGAAAATACAAATATAGAAAAGTTTTGACCCGGAGTCTCCGGGTTTGACGATCATCCTACGGGTTCCGGGTTTATATTAAAATAGAAATAAAGGCTAACAGGTGGATGATGGTTTAAAATGTGAAGAACCAAAAAAGAAAAATCTTTTGTGCATTCCTCAACAAACTTATATAATAAAACAGTAAATTGGTACCACAAAAATGATTTAATCAAATTAAAATTACGTGTGCGACTAGTTTCGAAATACTTAGTTCATCATCAGACAAAATTAAATAATTTCAAAAGTGTTCTTACCTATAAGTTGCGACTGAAACGCTGAGCTATAAAAGCCATCTCCATTACCGCTAAAACAAATGAAAAATCTTTATTATATGCAAAAATTAGTTAAAAAATAATAAAAATTACCTTCTGTTTAATACTCGCAAATGTACGTAGAAAAATGCGATGTAGAGAATAATCGGAAGAAAAATGAGACATACTGCTCGAGAAAGTAGATTTTTTAACGTGTGGCTCTGCAAAAAAAAAATAGAAAACTAAATTCTAGTACATAGATTAAAAGTAAAGATGATATGAAGGATATATTTTTAGTTTTGCATACAGGGACATAGAGGGCGCCACGAATCGAATGTTACTATTAAAAATAAACCTTTATATTTAGTTAACCTAAATCTAAAGTTTCAGTGCGATACATACTAGGCATTCCAAACAAAATAGCTGTCGAAGGGCTTTGCCATATACAGTATGTTGACCTAGGAATGTCGAGAAATAAAGATCGGGCGCTTAATTATATTTTCTATTTCTTCTAACATTTCTTCATTAGAAACTAAAGTTTCTTCTATCTCTTCTTTAAAAGATGAAACTTCTTCAGACTTGGAAAACAAAATGTCTTCTTTAAAAAATAAAATTTCTGCTGATATGGAAAATAAGATGACTTCTCCATTGAGGAGAAAATAATCTCTTCCGTTGGTGAGAAAATAAAAGAAATGGAAAAGAAGATAGAAGAACTGGAACATACAGAACAGAGAAAGGACGGTGAAATAAAGTGCTAAGTGGAGTCAAAATTGAAATTGGAAGAAACTGTAAATTCTGCTCGTGTTAAAGCCCCATCTTTCGACGGGAAGATGTTGGGTGGTCAATTACCTGAAACAGTTTGAAACAGCTGTGAGAGCAAACGAATGGTCTGAAAGAAAAAATGCCATCGTCCTTCGAGGGGACGCTTTAGAAGGAAGACCTGTGGAAGAAACAGTTGACTTTGAACAACTCAAAAAGAGACTAAACATGCGATATGGTCACGAACACTTGGAGCATTTGTATCAATCACAGTTAAAGAATCGCAAACAGAAACGAGACGAGACCATTCAAGAATATGAAGTAGATATTGCCAGATTGATGCGATTTGCCTACCCATCAGCTCCAGAAAACATGAAGGAAATGTCTAGCTGTTCAAACATTTGTTGATGGACTCCGTGACCATGAAATGCAGAAAACGCTCCGTCCAGTCCGTCACAAAACATTGGTCGATGTCTTGTCCGCTGTTCTAGAGCATGAGGCAGCTACGCAAGCTTCTGGTGGCTACAGTAAAGTAAGGACTGTAAAAGAGGAAGAAGATAACTAAACGGAAAACCTAAGATAGTGCATCAAAACCGGCTGGCGTCATTTGAGGATGGCTATGATCAAGAGGAAGGAGTAAACGAACATCAAGAAACGCCTGACCTTGTCTTTGAAGAATTTATGGGTGCATATGGAAGTATCGGAAAAGCAAGACTTGGTGTTACGACTGAGCAACAACGAGACCTGCTCACAGTTCCTAAAGACTACTCGCTGGCCATAGCACTTCCTCCAGCATCAACGATGCTCGAGGTCTGACATCTGTGTTCTGGAAGAAGTTTGGTCGGTTGCCAGAACAAAGGACACCTTCCGAGATCGACTCACTTATCATTATGTATGGGAAGCATTACTTAGTCTGAGGGAGCATGTACTGCAGTCCAATGTACAGAAACTAGCTATGCCAAAGATAGAGAGCAACCAGCTGAATTGGGGGATCATTAGAAACATGGTGCAAGTAATCTTCCAAGATACCGAGGTTCAAATATTGGTCTGCAGCCATTCTCCCAGTGTCCAGGTTATAGCGAAGATCGTCCCTTGTTACTTCCATGCCACTAGAAATTGTAAAATAGGATCCAGTTGCAGATACAACCATTTTGTTAATAAAATAATAAAAATAAATAAATAATGAAGGAAAAAGAAAATCTCAAAAATCGTGTCAGGAATATTTTTCCTTCATTTTGTTTTAGTTTCGTAAAAGTTCCAGGAGGAACTATCTCTTAAGAATGGGGCAATGTAATGTGAGCCATTTCCGACCAATCTGGTCATGCTCTGATCCTTTGGGTATATCTACCTTGTTTAAGCCTTTTTACGACCCCACCTGTCCTTAAAACCAGGATTATGAAAGGAATAAACATCCTTTACCCAACTATTGAGACACCTATGCTCACAGATAGCCGGTATGAATCATTCATTCGGGAATGTACTAGAACCCAGCCTTTATAGAAGTAAATTCGAGAAATTGTCGGAGACGCTTGTCTAATAAATGGTGAGAACAAGGATAATCTAGCGCATACACCCATTTATAAATACAATAATAAAAAACCTAAAAGTGAAAATCTGGAATTTTAGGTTTTTTGGGTTATTTATAGTTTTTTTTTGTTTGCAGACTGATTTTTTTCATTATAATAAAATTTCATTTCAACTTTTGCTTGTATTTTTTGTTTAACTTTATATGAACTAAAAAAAAACCTTTAAAAACCTATAAAACTAAAATAACCTAAAAACCTACTGTTACGTAGCTTTTTATATATTTTTTAATTCTTAGGTTTTTCTAACCCTGGTTTTATTTCAGCTCTATATTCAAAATTAAGAAGAACCCTCGTATTTGGATTAAAAGTGACGATGATAATGCTTATATGAAAAATAAATTCTGGGAAAAATTAACAATATTCCAATAATTTGACCAATCAATGTTTGAACCAATCCTCCATTAGTTATGGTCCACCCTGTATAACTAAAATTGTAGACTTACTAAATCACTTTCAAGTAACAGGCCAAACTGCAGCTAGTTACGAAACAGCTTACAAGTAACAGACCACGAACAAACATGACAGAAGAATTATTCAATAAATATTCAAGGAAAACCTGATTTAATTTTAAATATTTAAAAATTCATTTCATTACCATGCGATAACCTTGTACTTGAGTCAGTTTATCGTGTATTTTTACGTATACCCTATCATGCGTAGGAACGACAGTCGTATAATGTATCCCAAACGGTAACGATTATTATTCCTAATTAAAGCTGCCGTTTGTGCGCCGCAAAATGTTGTCGAGGTTAGCAAAGAGCGGCTGCACAAAATTCGGTATTTTCAATAACAAAAAGGTTAGTTTGCATAACTGTTTGCTAATAAACCTACAAAATACATCCGCCTATACGAATCATATAGAAGATACGCCTAAACCCACGTTAATAGCGAAATTAGTGAATAGTTCACCGAAGCAAGTGCAACCCTATCTGAAATTGGTTCGTTTCGATAATCCGATAGGCAGTTTGTTATTATTCTGGCCATGCAGTTGGAGTATAGCCTCGGCGGCTCTTCCAGGAGCTCCACCGGATTTTTACACGCTGGCAGTATTCGCTACGGGCGCGCTAGTCATGCGAGGAGCTGGTTGTACCATCAACGACATGTTTGATAGGGATATTGATGGTAAAGTCGGTCGTACGAAGAACAGACCTCTAGTCAACGGTGAAATAAACATGAAACAAGCTTGGATATACCTAGCCGGGCAGTTAAGTGTTGGTTTAGCCATTTTAACGCAATTGAATTTGTACAGTGTGTGTTTAGGAGCTAGTTCCATGCTTTTAGTTGTTAGTTACCCTTTGATGAAACGCATTACCTACTGGCCCCAATTGGTGCTCGGTCTTACGTTCAATTGGGGTGCTTTGTTAGGTTATAGTGCCATTAAAGGTTATGTTGACTTGTCTGTATGTTTGCCATTGTATTTCGCAGGAGTATGTTGGACTATTATTTACGATACTATTTACGCTCATCAAGATAAAGCGGATGATTTACGCCTAGGGCTTAAATCAACGGCTATAAAGTTTAATGAGGATTCAAAATTGTGGTTGAGTGGTTTCGGAACGACTATGATTGGAAGTTTGGTGTTATCAGGGGTAATGAATGACCAAACTTGGCCTTACTATACTGCAGTGGGCCTGGTAGCCAGCCATATAGCTAATCAGATTATTTCATTGAAAATTAATGATTCTAAGGACTGTTCTAAAAAGTTTATTTCGAATTCTCTTGTCGGGATGATATTGTTTGGGGGTGTTACTGCTGGTGTGCTGATGAAGAAAGAAAAAAGTGATAAAAAGCAGGCAGTGATTGATGCACCTGTTAGTCATTATGCGTAAATAATTCGAATTTTTAGATTTTAAGAGACTGTTGGTATTTATTAAAAAAAATTGATTTGCACTTTTCTGCAAACTATATCGAAAAGTCTAATAACTTAAAGCATTAAAATTGTAGAAATTTTATTAAGCACTGTTTGAAAAGAAAAATAAGAAACATATGTTATACCAAAATACAATTTGTGTAATTTATTTAGTTTTAATAAATATGATCCGTTTAAGTTGTGTGTATAAGTGTTTTATTTATCCACAGGTATGTTGTATGTATGATTTAATTATTACAAACTGATATAACCATTTAAATAAATAGCCACCTAAATATTATTGCAAAACTTAACAAACAAAAATAAAAGTAATTTTAAAAAACTGACTTAAAAATTGAGTTTGCTGATTTTTTCATAGATACCATCACCAGATCTTGACAAACTTTATATGGGACCACCCCTGAAGTGCCTCCTTTCTAACAAAAAAAGAATCATAGAAATCGGACAACGTGGTAGAGAATTATCACTAAACATACAAAAAATATATTTTTGGACAAATTGAGAACCTCCTTTTTTAAAGTCTGTTAAAAAGAAAACAGTAAAAGCGCAATAATAGTTATTGATAGTAGAGGTAGTTTGATTATACAATAATTATTATTTTATAATATTAATGAAAAATAAGGAGATTTATTAAATTAAATTTTGAAAGTTGTCAATGAAGTGGCACAAAAAACAAGTTAAAATTTTATCACATCAAAACTGAAATGTTCTGAATTTAGAATTGATTGTTATTATTGCCTTAGAAATATAATAACTTGGAAATTTTTGTGCAAATAAAAATTCAAATTTTTTTCATCTTTATACAGGGTGTTAAAAAAAAGTGTCACAAAATGAAATGGTGAATAGTATGACCCAAAATAAGCAGAAAAGTCTTAATAAATATATGACCGCAAATTAACGGTTTCGGAGATACGGACCATTTTGTGTTTATAACAATTTTTTATTATTATAAAAAAACAATGATATTTATAAACAATCAATAACAACATAGAGTTAAATGAGATGTTCAAAGTGCCCTCCCTCCATTTCAATGCATTGCCATTTGCACGACCGTACATAAAATGCATGTCAGCTAATTCAATATTAGTGTAAACGCATCGAAAATTTATAAAATTATTCACCCACAACAAAATAATAACTGCAAATAGTATCTATGAAAAAACATCGGTAGACTCCGATAAGAAAAGCAAGTTTTTGAAAATGAAAAAAGATAATCAAAAAATGATACAAAACACTCCGTATCTCTGAAACCATTCTTTTGCGGACATATGTTTATTAAGACTTTTCTGCATATTTTGGCCCATACTACCCCCCGTTTTATTTTGTGACACTTTTTTTTAACACCCTGTATAAGTACATCACTTAAGAGGAATACATACCCTCGCTTATTTGAAATAAAAATCAAACGCCGTTATTTACCAAGCGATTTTTTTTTAAATTTTGGAAGTTAATTTACTTCATACTTCTAAAAAAACGCATGGGAGCAGATTTTTTTTGAAAAGTCTAGTTTTTGAGAAAAAAAATATTTTCACTCCGAGACGGTCCTTATAAATTCATATAATTACTGATTTTTTGAATACAAATAGAACAATAACAAAATTTTCATAAAATGCACTCTTATGGAGTAATTACACGTATTGTATATGGCTAGATTAGACCGTAGCTGGGTAACATGTTTTGGTCTCCGATTTCATACAAAATAGTTTTTGAGGATAGATAATGTAGCCCAAGGTCCCAGATTACAAAGATAAGATGCATGGTTTTTGAATGATGCACACATGCCCTTTTAAAGAAATTTTCATTTTAGACCAGAGCATACCGGCGCAATCGTTTGCAAAATTGTTTTAATTCGTAATTTTTTTTTAAATGTCCGGAAGGCTTTCCTGATTATAAAAGTGTAAGATGACACTCGATATCTGTTGATGTTATTGTTTAAACAACGAAAAATTAATTAAGCCAGAAAAAATGCATTTTTTGCAATGAATTAATTTTTTTTATATTCTTTAGGATATTTCGAATAAAAAAGTCCTTACGCCCATCATCGTATCTTTAACCCTTTAATTGTTATGCATGTTTTAAAATCCGAAATTGACGAAAATTCTAATTTTCTTGAATTAAATAATATACCTTAAAATTTAAAATGCTATAATTTTAATTTTTTTACCGAATATTCAAGCTATAATAAACAAAATTACCTAAATAAATTTTCAAAATTTTGTTTGTTGTTATGTTTTTTTACGTTAAAGAATATAAAAAAAATTAATTCATTGCAAAAAATGCATTTTTTCTGGATTATATAATTTTTCGTTGTTTAAACAATAACATCAACAAATATTGAGTGCCATATTACACTTTTATAATCAGGAAAGCCTTCCGCACATTTAAAAAAAAAATCACGAATTAAAACAATTTTGCAAACGAATGCGCCACTATGCCCTGCACTATTGTGATTTTTTTTTTGAGTTTTTTCGTTATATGTATATTGCATTCCGTTTTGCATTTTACTAATAATTTATTTGTATTAAATTTAAATGGCATGCATGCCATTTTTTAAAATTCGCCTTACGGCACTCTTTAATGAAATACAAAGTGTGCAAAATAAGCAAACTAGTTTGCATATATATGAGTGGTATATATACCATGTAAGTTACCAAGAAGATTTTGATTTGTTAGGTTTCGAAAAGTCCTGGCTGAGAAAGTCCAAAAGGACGAAACAGCGCTCTCTCAGGATATTCGAACCTCCAATAAATCAAAATAAATTCTTCTTTTTTAAAATCTTTTATTTAACTTCACTTGTATGTATGTAATCGAAACTTACAACTTATTTTTGACTGACTTCTACATATATCCGATTGACTTCAAATTTGATAGGTGTTTATAGTTCCGGTGACAATGCCACCTTATGGTATTTTTAGGTTTCCACCTCCCCCCATTGTCCACTGATACCATAATAAAAGCGATGGGCGCAACTAGAAACAATTTCATATTTTAAACCTACAATTTAAGTTTTAGTTTGCGCCCATCGCTTTTATTATTGTATCAGAAATCAAAAAAAATTATTTTCTACTTTTGAGTGCATTTAATAAAAGCTTGTACTTAAAATATTTTTTATAAAAATTATTTTATATAATATCACGAACAAATAAAAAAAATCACAAGTGAAAATACGAACTTTATTAGCAAATTTTCCCATTTATACAGGGCGAGGAAAAAATTTGCCTATTTTCAACTAAAAACAACTTGACTTGTTTAAATAGAACACCCTGCATATTTTTAAACCATTCGAAAGCTGAGTTCTTTAGCTTTTAAAAAAATGCCAGCATGTGCATTTTAAATTATACAAATAATTAATAAGTACATTAATTTGATTATCGCATAGCTTTTCAATTTTTTAAAGTACGTATTTTCTGCATGTTTAATTTTTTTGGTCATTTATATACTGAAATCTTTCGGTAAGTTTTACTTATTTCGGTGTACAAACGAAAAAAAAATAAAAAAGCAGAAAATGCGTTCTTTAAAAAATTGAATATCTACAGGCAATATGGAAATTATTGAGAATGCACGCACAAAGTCGCGTATCTTCTTTATTTGTGAAAATTAAACTGCAAATGCTAGCATTTTTTAAAAGCAAAAGAACTCAGCTTTTGAATGGTTTAAAAATATACATAATACATGTTTAAATAAGTCAAGTTATTTTTAGTTGAAATTAGGCAAATTTTTTTCCTCGTTCTGTATAAATGGAAAAAAAATTAATGTGCTTCGGAAAAAACTTTTCGAAATTTGAAACTTAGTGGTTGAAACCGCACATTTCTATCTTATTTCGTTTATTTAAAAAGTATTGAATCAAAACTATAATTAAGTTCTTAAATATCTGAAGATTAGAAATACAATTTGTATCTTAATCTTTTCACATTAAAAAAAAATGTAGTTAAACATTTTATCATCCGATGTAATTCACGTTCAAATGCTCGATGATTAAGATCAAGTCTGCAAAGATCAGCTCACAAAATTAAATTTTAAACAAAAAAAATATATTAAAATACATGAAGTTTCCTGAAAATAAAAAATCTCTCGTAACGGGAATAGGCGCTCTCTGTGATCGGTAAAACATCCCCGTAGAAATCACAAATATAATTATGTAGCTACGGCTACGACGCGCGCACCCTGTTCAGTTACTTCAGTTAAATTCGAGGGCCTGGGAGAACAATAATTTTTGGCTGGCACGCTTATGATTTTCTCTAGTTCGCTTAAGACTGGAGCTGACGATTCGAGCAGATTGTTGACGCGAAGTCAACATTATTCTCACGCAAATTTCTCTGTTCATCCTTTTTCGAACATTGTGGGTCGTTCAGACACTGCACCTCCAGCGAGCCTATTACTTACTCTTAATACATTAGCCCCATGCCATGTAGCCTACCTATCGCTGCAGTGCCAATACAACTATACTAAAGAGAGCTTGAGTCTTGAGTACAATATAGGTGAACGCTTTTAAGCGGCATGGGCATATAAGATGTTAAACCCAAAACATTTGGATTTAATTTTTTAGAGGTTCACTACATGTTTAAATAATTAGAGGTGAAATAACTGAAAATTATGCAAAATGTTCTCCAATTCTTTTAAGTTTTATTATAATATTAAACTTAAAACTGCATGAGTACTTGCCAACTAGTTGATATTTTTGTTTTGTGTTCTGTAAAGTTGACTTTTTTTATAATTTAAAATAGAGAGTGTCCCAAAATTAGACGGTCATATGTTAACAGCGTAATCTACATCCTAAAATAGGAGTAAAAGTTCATATAAACGTAGGTCCCAAATCATTTCGTTTTCGAGATAGAGGGTGTTACAAGTGAAGTCCTGATGGCACATTTTTGTAAATATTTTCTAAAATTTCTTTAGTCACCGGTTTTCCAAAGTTAAAAAAAATAAAATTTCTGATTCTACTAATTATTGTTTACACTTTCGAATAAGATAACATCAACTTATCATGAAATTTTCAAATGCTTTTCTCTTGAAAATGGTGCGTCCTAGCGAGATGCAACAAAAGTAGCTTTATTATAAAGAAAACATTGGTTTTCCAAATTTTATAGTCAAAAATGTTAAAAACTGTCAAAAAAAACTTAGGGCAATTTTACCCTAAGCCCCCCTAATTTACCTACCTATGAATATGATCAAAAACT